TCATCAAGGAATGCAGCAGCGACTTGTGGTATTACCGGTTGAGGACGTGCTGCTAAAAGTCGTTCGTATCTGCAGGCAATCTGAAGAGCAAAGAGATAATTCACGAGGTTATTCTTTCAAAAAAAAGTAGCCGTTGAAAAATAATGAAGATAAAGCAACAACCTCAAAGTACAACACATGCACTGATGCTGAACGACCATCAAGTTGCATGGAAGTGAGAAGATTAACTGGTAATTGCGCCCCACGTCCCATCCATCCTTCCTTCACGTTCACAAAATTAGCCTAGGAGAAATATCAATTTTAAGAAATCCGACGCAAACTAACGTCATTATTCCGAAGATAGGTGAACTAAAAAGGCAAACACCCTCTTTATCAACGAATTTAGTAAGAAGTTGTGAGAGATCACTTGAAAGATAGAGGAGAAACAAGTATACCGGAATGATCTCCACCAGCCCATGCACCAGTTGTACAATGGCTTCCAACCTTGCAATAGGCATCGCAGTACCACCACCACTAGCTGCAACTTCGGCCACCAATGCTTCCATCGGTGCCACAATCAAATCTACCCTCTGAAGGTAAAATTATTGAGCGTAATTTCTCATCAGCCAAGCCTTACCATATTTCCTATAGTGTTAAGAATTCCGCGAAGTTCCTTGCGATAATCAGCGAATTCGATCTCATCTTCGCCCAAACCATCTACATCCAGTTCTTCGCTGATAACAAACCGCCGTAAGCAAACAGAAACAATCCTGGACAGCACACTGGTGGCTTTCTAGGATATTTTGCTCATTTAATCAACAAAATCGCATTTTAGCAAAAGCTACCTCTTCCATGCATTTATCTTTGAGCACAGCCACATAAGAACGAAGTGTGTAAATTACAAGTTCACTAAGATCAGGATCTTCATTATCCAGAACCAGCAGTAGTGAATCCATGTCAGACTCCACTGCTTTGATACATCGTTGGGCATCCTCTTCCGCATCTTCGGCCTTGAACCTGAAAGAGGAAACTAGCTGTCAATCAAGATGACACTTCCTTTAAGTCTCTGTTGAGAAACTATTAGTCGTCTTTTGAAATTCAAAAAAACCGACAGATTTGGGTAAAAGGAGGGATTCGATTAACTGGCAGAAGTGGCGTGCACAAATTTAATTCAGCAATGCCAAGAGCAAAAATTCGGAGTCGTCGTAAAATAAGAAAAAAATGTTTGTTTGTGCTCAATGATCTCAACATCATTCCGAGATTTTGAAAATTAAGCAATTGCGCCATGCACAAAATTCCACTTGATAATTGCTAGC